GCATCGCAGCGGCCTTCAATGCCAGCACTCGGGGAACCTCCTCGCACTGGGAAGGCTGCATAAAATTGGGATAATCGCCGTCGATTATGGGACACAATGAGCTGCCGCTTCTGAAAGATTCATTCATCCTGGAAGAGACTGCGGAGGGTGGAGGGTGGGGGGGGGGTGCCTTGGTCCCTCCGCTGCTCTCCCACGGTGGGCACAGGCATGACATCAGTGGCCTGAAAGAGCTGGCATTTTGGACATGTCCATTACCCTCCCTCCTCACTATGCCCTCGCTCTCCCTCCCGTCCGAGCCCCCCCTCCCGTCTTTTCTCGCCGCTGCCAGTTTGGATGCGGCGCTTGGCCGGGCGAGTAAGGGCCACTGCCACTGTTTGCGTGTGAAACAAAGCCCCTCAGAACGGAGAGAGAGGAAGCAGAGAGCTTCACATGGTGCCAGCCAAGAGCAGGCATGGCTGCCTTAGCTTTCCCCTCGCAGGCCCCTTTTTTGGCTGAGAGGTGCWAGTGTGACCCCAATACCCCCTTCGCCTTCAATGTCCCTCTTTCTCCCTCCTGTAACCCCTTCTTCTCTATCCGAGTCCCTTGCTGTCATTTAAAAAAATGCACCCCTTTAAATCGAAGAGGCCTTGGAATGAGCATGATGTGTCAAAGGATTTAGGATGAATGATTTCTCATGACACGACCKTTTCAGAAAGAGACGGCATTCCTCTGGCTTTTGTTGCGCAATTGGTCATTTGTTGGGAGAGGAAATAGCTTTCCAACACATTTCCCCAATTACAATMATGTGCTACAATACGACGTGAAGTCTCATGCTGCTGGGAGACTGAGGGGGAATCAGCGTGACAACATCCTCACATGGATTGCATAGGTTGTGCTTTGGACTTATTTCACTTGATGAGCTGCGTCCAGGAACAGGATTACAGAAGTCTGTATCTGTTACTGGCTATGTGAGACATATGGCACAAAGGGATGTGGCGTCTGTATTTCAAACATGTGGTCTCCCATGTACAGTAGGCAGCAAGCATTACTTTGATTAAGCGTTGGGACATCAGCGCTCAACAAAACATTATAAATTATTTGATCTGTCCATCATTTTTTTTACTTACAAAGTGTTACTGTCCACAATTAGTGGGCATCTGTCCAGCTCCCACAGCCTGACCTCTTTAATGCCATCCATTGAAGCTGAAAGAATCTGAATGTATACAGTTAGTGTGATTACAGGGTCCAGGGCACATTGGGGGGGGGTGTTTCCCTGAAAGATTTGACAAATAGGCTCATATACAGACCCCTCCCTCCAATCGTCCGTTTTGATTATTTATTTAGTCTCAGGTTTGTTGGCTGGGTGTTTCTTCATGTGCTGGTCAAGTCAGGGGGTGGGGGCTAGGAAGCTGGGGTGTGGGTGAGGGGGGCATCGGAGCCATCAGAATAGGGTAACTCAGGTTGTGTCTGTGACTGGTGCTGGTGGAATTGGTGGAGGACTCTGAGTGGACATCCGCCAGCAGTATTCTGATGTTTTCAGTGCCTTTGATACCTGACCAGACTGTGGGATGGAGCGCTTGTGATCCAGCACTTTCCTCTGCTGAATCACTTTCCTTTTACCAAAGTCCGGAGATTTGGTCCTAGTCAATGTATATAGCTCTGACCTCAACTCCTCCAGAAATGAAGTAAGTGCTTTTAGACATCATATGTTTTGGTTTTGTRTTTATTTTCGGAATGACTGAATACTTACCAGGAATTGGTTTTGTTGGGCTAATTTACTTTAATTGTCTGTGCGTTATCTAGATGGGTGCAGTTCATATTCATTTGTTTTAATGATTAGTGGCAAACTCTAGAAAACAATAAACTTTTAATAATAACTATTTTAGCTATTGTTTTAAGTTAGTATAATGAAATGTGATTCTTATGAAATAAAGAAACGCCATGTCTGCGATTTTTGAACTGGCTTTAATGATGTTTTTCTACCAATTATTTTGGTCAATTTTATTAATGTCAAGGAAACCTAATTTATTTTCCACTAATAAAGTTCTCTGTGACTTTTKAAAGACATAGTTTTCTATATTAAGCAGCTCAGACTTATTTAACTCAGTGGGTGTTGACAAAATTGAGGTTGGATAWACGTAATTATTTGCCCATCACTGACTTGGTTTAATGTTAATCAAAGTTAAATTTATGCTTAGAACATAATATTACTCTGTAGCATAACCCACCAACATTGCTTTCTTTGTTTGTTTTGAAGTGATGCTAAATAAAGCAGCTTTCACTAATGCTATGCATGCTGTACATTTTCTCATTCATCTCCTCAGACCTGCTCTAATTTGTCTCTGACTTGGAGCGAGAGGTGCTAATGAGAGGGTYTTGACAGAAAATCGCCCATTTCCTATTTCAGAGCTAAAATTAATGCAAGGGAGAGCACAAATGGAGGTTCTGTTGATATCATTCATAATTCTTACTGTGTGGAGTTTGGTTACATTGAGCAAAATATAATGATTTTTGTATGGCTTCCACAAATCTTTTCAGTTTTATTGTAAAATGGGAGTTTTTTAATGTACAATCTTCTTTTGATTTAATAGGTTAAGCTAGAGCTGGTCCATCTGTGGGCCCACAGGCGGGCCAGGTGCTCTTCTTAGAAGTTTTGAAGGTGCTTGTAAACAAAGCTCAGAGCAGTGTGTGTGAGAGAGTGGGAACCTGTTAATGTGGAGTTGGTGGTCATTTACACACTGTAACACCATGACAAGCTCTGGGTTGTTGTAATGTAGGTTTTTTTTTAAATTACCAAACTCAGAAAAAAAACACTTTTGCAAAATAAATAAAATAATACCCACTGAGTTAAAATAAAATAAAATAAAATAAAATAAAATAAAATAAAATAAAATATTGTATTTAAATACAGAAGTTCAATATAAACTGAATCAAATTATTTACAAGTTGATGTTTTCCGAAAGTAGCAAATTCAAAGTACAGAAAGCTGATTTTCTTTAATTCATCTTTTTTGCAATTTGACCTCTGRAAAAATAAATGTGGTGAAGTAGTATTTATCATCTGAGGATTATCTGGGCTCTATGGAGAGGGGCTCTAAGACAATCTTCAGTTCTTATTGCTGTAATTTAAGCACATACAACCCAGACAATCAGATGAGTTGCTTGAAATAATCCCAGCTGCTAAAAGTTCTGGCTGTAACACTGATACAYACCTAGCTTTACCTGAAGCAATAACATTCATTTTCTGTTTAAAGGGCTGCAAAAAACTGCATGGAAGTGGAATCACGCTTCATTAAAACTAATGCAAAGTTTCTGTTTTTTTCATCATGTTTTTATTTTCATTTTTGGTGAGTTGGGTATCTGCAGTATAAATCACAGTAATATCAGTTGAAAACGTGCACTATTATTCTAATATAAAGTCTGCCTAATTTGAATTGGTTTAAATATGCAGATTCAAAATGTCTTTTTTTAGTGGTTATTGAATGTCATAAATGTACCWATTTTTATTCCATTTGAAATCAGCTTTGTGYATTATAGAGTATAACCTCAACTAACACAGTAAACAAAACAACAAATTTGAGCCTAYTGCACAAATCTAGGAYATGGGWTTAAKCTGGGATTYTGGTGTAAACCAAACCTTGAATCAGTTGCATGGGAGAGGAAGCACTTATGTTTTCATGGTAACAAGTCCTCTGAAACTAACCTGGTCCCAACCAGGTTTAGAGTGAAGCTTATCTTCTAAGCAGAGTCACTTTACTGCAAAAAACAGTTCATCTAACCAAGTTTTACAGTCTTATATCAGCAAAAAAGTATTTTTTAATCTTGTTTTTACACAAATATACAAAGCAAGATCAGAAAATGTAGGATTATTATTTTTTTAGCCTGAAAAGTTTTCTTTATTTCAAGAAGTCTTACTGTCAAACTGCAAATTTGTAATTATTTTTAATTAGAAAAGAATCAGAGTATCATCTAGTMTTTTAAACATTTTTAGATTGTTAAATTTGCAGTGCTGATCAGAAATAAGTGTTTCATACAATTATTAAATTTATCCTTTTTTCTTTGCATTAAAATATTACAGAGAAATTATATTTATTAAACAGATTATCTGTAAAAAATAATAACTCTCAGCCTCAGCTTCTTAGTTCCTGCTGCAGCAMCCCATCCCTGATCCCCCCAACACACATGCACACTGGAGCCCCAGCCATTGTTTTAAAGCAAAGTGATCAGCTGTTCATTTTAATTGTGTTCATTTTGTTCATTTCAGATAACTTACAAATTCAGTGGCTCCAAAAAAATGTACTTTTTATTTCAGCATTCTGTCAGTGTTTCTTCATCTCTTCATTTGATCCATAATTAACCATTACACTGCTGGGAAGAAGTGAGACTCACGTGCCTTGCTGCACATGCCTGATCAGGAAATCTGTGATCCACCTGATGGGTCTAGTAAGCAAACCGTGAACGTGCATTAATCCTAAACGATTTACAGCTGGTTTGAATGAGCCACCCTGATTAAGTGCGGCTTGGTGTTAGACCAACAGATTACAGCTGTTGTCAAGTTGAAGACTTGTTCAAGCTCARCTTACAGCTGATAGCCTGAATTTAGAAATCTGACTTTTGTGAAATGAGTTCCTTGTCATGTTTTACATGATCAATGCCTCATRGATCCTTGACAAAGGCTGCAATTTTCTGAGCTCCATTTTTAGACATCTCTTGGATGCTATAGTAACCACCTTGTGTTGGAGTGACAGAGTGGCAGTGCTTAAATGCCACACATTATTCACAGTTTTCCTTTTCAAACTCTATATGGTTTTCAGTTACAATAAACACCCACAAACCATTATTTCTTATCGAGTTAACAAAGCCCTCTTTTCTTCTAACAGGGACTGCAGGTGAAAAAAATTTAGACAACTTTCTGTATATTGGAAAAATTGCACTTTATGAGAAAAAGAGATTTTATGGCTAGGTCTGGCTTAATACGTCAAAAATCTAACAACTCTTTTTCGTTTGCTTTTCCTGCCACAGTGCCAACAGTATGCCTAAACAAGTGGAGGTGAGGATGCACGAGAGTCACCTGGAGCCCATTGAAGCCAGGCCCCAGTCAAAATGTGCTCAGATATGCTCCAAGATGTTTAAGAACCTCCTGCTCACACTCACTGTCCTCGGTAAGTGACTTCACCATCAATGCTTTAAGCCCCCGTCATCCTGGGTAATAAAAAAACAGTCAGCTCTCTCTTCAGTCTGACATCACTGCTGCAGCTTGCTGGTAATATGTGCCATCTGTGCTCAGTGTACCAGAGAGTTTGATGACTGGATGTTCTGACCTTCTTCAGGACAGTGCCGCCTGTTGATATATAAATAAAAAAAAAATCCACAAACTGCGTTTATACATTTTGTCGTATGGAAATACTTAAGTACAACACAAAAAGCGAGCCAAGAAAAATACAACCTCTAGATCTTTTAATTAGGTTTTATTAAACAAGCATGTTTGCACTTTGTGTCATGCTTATGATTCAGCAAATGAGGTTCCAAATTCACAAGCAGAAAACATGCAGTTTGAGAAAACTGAATGATCTCTAATAAAAAAAAAAAAATTCAAAGCTTGGGTACTGTGAAAAAAGGAGGATAACAACAAAAAGAGCAGTGCCCAATACGTGCCCTGCAGTGAGAATTTCAAGAATATTAGAAAGGCTAGTACTATACTGAGTAGGGTGATTAACTAATGCAGGCCAGGTGTTATAAATAATAAATAAGAACCTGGTGTGTGAGAAAAGCAGATTGTGAAACAGACTGAGGAACAAAAGAAGCAAAATCTACAAACCATAAGATGTTGCTGATAGCTTTTTGGGCCCTTCAGTTATACATTCATCAGGGATGCTGGTAAATTTTTAATCCTACACCAATATTAAATCTGACAACAGATTCCAAAAGAACATTTCAAACCATACAAAACAACACCAAAATCATGTGTCAAGTATACTTGTCATATCTCAAGTATGGGAAGTTATTGATGTTTGTTTAGGTGAAATCAGCTCATGTTTTCTTGCTGCAGTTCACAGCAGAACCAATGGGGCCTTTGTGACCATTTCACCTTGCTGTTTTCTAAATTTGCTCATAACTTCCTCAGTGTTCAAGATATCGCCATGAAATTTTAGGAAAAGATTCCCATTCTGGTTTTGTAGGAAGTGTCTTGTACCTTAAAAAAACCTAATAAAACTTAATAACAGCCAATTCAAAAGTAGCAGAAAAGGTATAAAATAGTCTTAGAAAATAAGGAAATTTAAACAATTTAAAAACCATGTGGACATCTGTTTTGTAAACAAAGCTCCTCAACCAATGACAGCGTGTTAAATGTGTCAAGTGACGAAGACGAGCATCAAAACACTTTGCAACAAGCGCTATTCCGGATTTTAAAAAAGCATATGTTGACGTTTCAAATCATTAATAAATTTGGAACAAGGGCAGGTAAAATAATGTTCTTCATGACAGCTTATCTATTTAAGGGGTCACTAAAAAAACTCGGGTGATTTACTTTGATCCTCTTTTCAAAAAAATGTCTCTTTAAAACGCATCAACAAAAATTAAAAACTCAAAGACAAGGATGTAGCTAACAACCTGACGGCAGCGTGCTTTGTTTAAATTCGTAGAAATAACGAAGCAGGATGAAATTACAAGCAAACACGCCGAACAGCCTTGCAAAATCTGGTCACAGCAGTTTGGGAGGAAAATGTCAACATCCCTACATTCATCACATGGCATCTTCTACATATGTAAATGCTAAAGTACTTGATCTTATTCATCACTTTATCAAGTCCCTACGGATTCCTAAACACTAAATTCACTCATTCATACACTGATGGTGGTAAGCTACAATGTAGCCACAGCTGCCCAAGGGCACATTGACAGAGGTGAGTTTAAGTAAGTTCAAATGTACAGATTGTTTAAAAATAGTACAGTAGATATCTCATATCAGTTAGGCAAAGAAATAGTCAATATATCATCACTGCTGATAATATTCAAGATTCAAAAAGCCTGAAAAGAGAGAAGAAAATTTGGAAAAGGAGCCATTGAGAAGAAAACAAATATTGCAAATGTCTTCCAAAAACTTTGGCTTTCCACAGGGTGTTGGTAGATTTAAGGATATAAAGAAATAAGMTGTGTAATCCTTAACAGTGGAATTAAAACCACAGGGGGTGTGAGAGTTCTTTCTGACATATAGACAGACAAAGAGGCACTGAGACCAACCGCTGGGCCTGGTCTAGGCTGAGGTCAGGCCATACAGATGTCCATTTTTTTTAACAGTAATTGTGTGTTGCAGGATAGGATCCTCTGATCGTCAGCAAATTTGAGTGCTTCTTTAAAAGTTAAGGTTTACCGTTCTGCATCATGACTTCAATAGTAATTTTAGTAAAATTAGGGTTTCTGTCCATTAGTCAACTGGAGGCTGGACAAATTACTCACAAAAGAGACACATTGTTAATCCTTTGAGGAGTAGAAGTTCAATGAAGTTCAGCCAGAGGTCAGGTTACAACCTCAGAGAAATCTCAGGCTCCACATGGTTCCACTTCTAATATCACAGTGATGCAAACACAGTTTATTAAAGGGTTTTCAGGGTTCTATTTAAAGCTGGGGTTTGCAGTGTGGCATCTGAATAAAGCACAGAGACAAATATGTTTGGTCACAATTGGAATGGTTTATTTTATCATTTTGGATCTTTGAATAATTTATCTGAGCTTCCAAAATTCAATTAAAAAGAAAATGGTCCCCCTTCCTAACACCACTTCAAATAAAATCTGATCTCAATCCTTCATGAGCTTTATTCTCTCTAGGAAAATTTTAGTCTTTAGAACCCACTGTCATATTTAAACTGGTAGTAGATATTGAAACGCCTTCAGGGACTATAAACACCAGTGCGTCATTACATTTTTCATACTCTAAATTGGAGACTTTCTCTGTTGGACAATTTTCTGTGATTTACGTCATTCACTTTGATGTGAAAATGTCTGTTTTTAAGTTGAAATGTACCTCTACTCATGAAAAAAAAAAACATTTTCTAACATATTTTTCTTCAGGTGTGATCTTGGGAGCAGTAGCAGGGATGTTGCTTCGGGTTGCCTCCCCAATCCACCCAGATATTGTCATGGTGATYGCTTTTCCTGGAGATATCCTGATGAGGATGCTGAAGATGTTGATCTTGCCACTCATTATCTCTAGTTTAATCACAGGTACAGTAGAACCGATTTCAGTCAAATGCATGTCGAAAATGTGTATGTGCCTAAGAAAAGCAAGCAGCTTGTATATTTGATGGTTTTATTTTTTTTATTTTTTAACGCTTTTTGTTGCAGTGCTTCCATGACGTGCACAACTGAACAGCATTCTATAATTCCACTAATGTTCTTTGCATTCACCAATCATTTTTCTTAGAACAAAGTYCACATTTTATTTCGGGAAGAAATAACCATTAGCTTGCTTGTTTTGGCTGCAGGTCTGGCCGGTCTGGACGCCAAATCTAGTGGTCGCCTGGGCACCAGAGCTATGGTCTACTACATGACAACCACTGTTATTGCTGCTGTCCTGGGAGTCATCCTGGTCTTAGTCATCCACCCTGGCAACCCCAAACTGAAGGAGAATCTGGGYGAGGGCGAGAAAAATGACGACGTGTCCAGCTTGGATGCCTTCTTTGATCTGATCAGAAACCTTTTCCCRGAAAACCTGGTGCAGGCTTGTTTCCAGCAGGTAAGAGATGAAAATAAAACAAATAGCTGGGCATGCTTTTTTTTTTTCTCTGATTATTCGAGAGTGTCAGGTCTTGTTGTGACTTTACATCATTTTATGGGATTTATAACTTTAAATTTGAGACCAAACCAAGTTTGAGTGTTTGGAAACAGGTTGACATCAATGACGTTTGCTTTAGATGATTAAGAAGTAAGAGAAAAAAAAAGGTTTCATTGGTGGAAATGCAATGAACCGCATCTCTTCAATGAATAGCATGAACTAATAATCCCRTCGATTTTAATGTTTATTGTTCCTTTAGATTCAAACAGTCACAAAGAAAGTTGAAGTGGCTATTGAGGAGGAAGTCAATGCCACAAGTGTGGAGGGCCTTGTGGCTAACATTACCAAGGAGCCTCAATACATCATCAAAAAGTCCCTTCAGTTTAAAAGCGGCATGAATGTGTTGGGTACGTATCACAGAATGGAGCCCACACTTATTTTTGTCAAACTAGATCATCCTTTGGTGCTGTGATGTTTTGACACTCACTCCAACTCACTTATTCAAATTCTGATGCATTTGCAATTTTCTCCCACAGGTTTGATTGGGTTCTTTATCGCCTTTGGCATCTGCATGGGTAAGATGGGAGAGAAGGCCAGACTCATGATTGACTTCTTCAATATCCTCAATGAGATTGTGATGAAACTCGTCATCATGATCATGTGGTTAGTATCTCCTTCATTCACTTATATCATATTTTTTGCTTCGTGTCAAAATWATTTCTCAAAGAATATTAGGTTCATATTTAATAAAAAAATACATTAGTATTTGTTCTGTTTGCTTTCTGCCAGCAGTCCTAATTTGTAGTTTCTCCTCTCCAAAAGGTACTCTCCCTTTGGTATTGCCTGTCTGATTTGTGGCAAGATCATCTCCATCAAAGACTTGGAGGTGGTGGCCAGGCAGCTTGGCATGTACATGGTGACTGTGATCATTGGCCTAATCATCCACGGAGCCATCTTCCTGCCCAGTATTTACTTTGTTATCACCAGGAAAAACCCTTTCACMTTCTTCCTGGGCGTCTTCCAGGCCTGGATCACTGCTCTGGGAACAGCTTCCAGGTCAGCGTCAGAATATGTTCTTAGATGAATGAAACTATGAATAAATAAACGTTAATTTAACACTCTACATGATGATTTATTTATTTATTTTTATTCTGCTTTCATTTTCAGTGCTGGTACACTGCCTGTCACCTTCCGTTGCCTGGAGGAGAATCTGGGAATCGACAAAAGAGTTACTCGTTTTGTGCTCCCAGTCGGTGCCACCATCAACATGGACGGCACTGCTTTATATGAAGCTGTGGCTGCCATTTTTATTGCTCAGATGAATGGCGTCATCCTTGAYCCCGGTCAGATTGTCACAGTCAGGTCAGAAAAACACCTGCACTTCAAAAAGGCAGACTTTTTTTCATCCCATTAGTTTCACAGTCAAACACACATAGTTAATTGAATCATGTCTCTTTTGAAACTTTTTTTTTATCAAGTCCTGAATTTAAAAGAGGTCATGTAACTGCTTCTGAGTACAATTAGCGCTTGATGAATGATCTCAAACTCAGCAGTAAAGGCATTTAACGGTAAACTGAGGAGCCTGTGTGGTCTAAATGGGCCAAATAGAGAAAGGAGAYGTTCAGTGAAGGAAATAAATCAGCAGGAGGATGCCGCAGCAGTGTCATGCCTCATGCTAAGCAGGAAGACAAACAGCAAATGCATGTTTTTTTTTCTTTCATCAGTCTGTGCCAAACACTCTTCTCATTATAGAGTGAGCTGAGGATGGATGACCCTCTCGCTGACATTTTCATGGCACATAAATCAATGAACCCTCAAATTTAACATTCAGTCTCCCGCATTAGAGACCCGCTCTTCCGGTCTCGTTTTATAGAAAAGCAAAGCCGAGGATGAATATCAGCCTCAACATATTTGGGTGTGAGATGCATCAGTTTCATATGAACATTTGGTGTCTGAAATGTAGCTTTACATTAGAGATTTGAAAGATGTGATGAGAAAACGTGTCTTTTGTGCCAACTTTCAGTCTGACAGCCACTTTGGCCAGTGTTGGGGCAGCCAGTATTCCCAGTGCCGGCCTGGTGACCATGCTGTTAATCTTGACGGCTGTTGGCCTGCCAACCCAGGATATCAGTCTGCTGGTTGCTGTCGACTGGCTGCTGTGAGTATAACTGCTGCTACGTCTGGCTAGTATTTTACTTTTATTCAATAACCTTCCTTTATTTATTTGGCTTTTCTCATATCAGGGATCGATTCAGGACCTCTGTGAACGTAGTGGGCGACTCCTACGGTGCGGGGATCGTGTACCACCTGTCTAAAGCAGAGCTGGACGAGCTGGACGCGCACATGGCTAAATCCGACGACATTGAAATGATGACAAAGACCCAGACCTATTACGACGACATGAAGAACCACCACGAAAACAATTCCAACCAGTGCGTTTTACCCACAACTGCTTCCACAACYRCAACTGCYAAAGCTAACAATTCTGTCTTAGTAGATGAATGCAAGGTACAATTAATGCTTTCCGAAATAGAGACGTCTATATAACCCTGTCGTTGCATGCTCACCCTGCATYTTGCTTTGCACCGACTGTCTGCGCACAATGATGTCATCACACCTGCTGTTTATTTCACAAGTGAACTGAGAGAACAACAGTCACGCAGCATGTATTAACTCTTCTGGAATAGCACCTATTGTGTTAAATAAACAGGCAAAGCTTTCATCAAGACTCAAAAACTGTTTAACAATAAAGCAGCTCTGCTAATAATTGACTAGAACCAAATCAAAATATTTAAAAGTATGGTAACGCTTTCTATTACGGTATCCTTATTACCATATAATTACGGTACAAAAGAAAAACTAACGTTAGTAAAACTACCTTTATTGGTTAACTACAATAAAATCACTACTCAATAGTAACTAAACACTACATTTATAACCAAAAGAATGCAACTAAATTTTGGGGTTAGTGGTTAATTGCAATAAAATATAACTTTAAAACTGTCCAAGTTACCAACTACGTATTTAGGTGTTACATTAGTGAATTGTAATACATTACCAGGTAAATGCTACATTACTGCAGACAAATAATTACATAATAAAATTGTAGCCTAATTACTATGCAATTACATGGTAATTAATGTTATTACATGTAATTACGTTTTTATTACCTTGCAATTACATGGTGATAAGGGTACCTTAAGAGAAAGTGTTACCAAAAGTATTTGATTTCATAATTTACRTTTGGTTCAATTTATTTATGGTCTTAAAGGGGACATATGCAGAATCCACATTTTTAGACGTTAAATGCATTTTGTTGTGTGCTTATCTCCAGGAGTGCAGAAACTAATAACTTAGTTTCTGCTGGAGCTGATATCTTTATAATCTGTTTAGGTCATATTTTTCTTTGATGTTTTCTGATTATGTCAGATTATTTGCAACAGAACTTCTAAATAAGGTCTGAAATTACAAACTACTATTTATTTGTTTTCATTTTCCTCTGGCTCTGGCTCAGACTCTGGCTCCAACATGTAATGTTGGACGATAATGGACAAGTCTTCTGTTGTTGACGTCTCTGAGTTAATTTGTAAATAAAAAGTTTCTGTGACGCTATATAGTCATAAACCCCTGTATTCAACTAGAATGGACCACTTTGGAAGCAGGAGGGGAGAGGTGGTGTGAAGTGCACCATTTGGATTTAAAGAAACAGCCTCAAAATGAGTTGATCTGAGACACACCTCAGAAAAGGGGATGAAAGAGGGGCTTGTGGAGTTACAATAAGGAGGATATCAGACAAAGCTGTTGCAGTTCCACTATATATATTCCAACTGAATGATTTAAATGTGAAAAAGAAGGATTTTAAAGCAGGATATGTCTCCTTTAAGATCCAGCTGAAGATCTGGTGCATTTGTTACTCATTTGCACTTAGAATAAAAATAMAAACTGAGGTGTTAAGCTATTTAACACTTCATATTTTAACACAAAATTTTCTAACACACTTTCACTAAGATTTTTTTCTTTCAAGGTTTTAGAAATTTGACAGCATCTCCCTTTTGTTTATTGTGCAAACCATGTTAAATCCAGAGCTGCAAAAGGTTTTTGCAATGCAAAATATCACAGAATGTGTTATTGTCTTTTAGAATATTTCATGAATGTTCAAATAGCTTGTGCCCAGGCACACACACCCAGCCAAAGAAAAAAATACAAATCCATACATTTTATAAGAAAATTGAAAGTTGTTGCTAAGCAACACCATCAACTTGTTACATGAGTAACAACCATATAGTTGTATTCTCATTTCAGAGTTTTAAATATTAATGAGCATTTACCAATAAATGAAACACAACAGGTTGCTATTTCCAGGATTTTATTTTTTGGTTTTATTTTTATTTTTGTTGTTTTCTCTTGTCTATAAATATTAGGAATTATATTTCTAATCCCCTCTGCACACAGCTGTAGAACGCTTGCCAAAAAAATGCTAAAACTAAATCCTGTTTTGTGCTTGCACCTTGTCTTTTTTGTGCATATTTTGTATTGCCAATGGATTTATTTGTGTTTGTTTGACATTGTGTTGCATCTGTGGTCATCATAAATTTGTGGTTTGTTCCCAGGTCAGTGACAGGAAGTCTTCCTTTACCATAACCCTTCGTTGGTTGTCCAGACGCTCCCGTATTCTGCTATTATTTTGTATATTGTGAAAAATGCACTGATACCCAAGAAGCTGAGTTTTAACTGCAACAAACTTTTACCAGTACCATTTTTTAAAATATATACAGTAATTCAAGAGGAGCTTTTCAATGATCAATTCTGTTCTAGATTGCTAATCTCGTCATATTAATTATGAAAAGAAAATCACAAATTGACCTCTTTTGTGATTTTGCAAAGACAAGTTTTTGCTAAATTCATTTTTTGGAACCATTTGACAATCTTGGGTCACTGCTGACGTCCAATATTTGCACTGAGATACTCTTTATTTTAACCGCAACGGTAACACTTTATAATAACTACACCTTATTTAGACTTAATTAATCATTAATAAAGGGTTACTTAACCTTGAAACAATCATTAATTAAGGATGATTCAGTCTTAATAAGCTATGAAATAACACAATTATTAAAGTTTTACCCATAAAGGCTAATTACTTCTAAAACAAACATACTCATTGTTAACTATACTGTGTATATGCAAATGCTCATGTAAACACACTTTCACACCATGTGTTAGACATGTATTAGTGGTCGGAGAATGTTTGAATCAACTATCTACTAACCCTGCAGAGCATCAGTAACTAAGGCAGGTGTTAGTTGTTAAGTCTTTTGGCGAATCCTTCTAAAATGAAGACTATTTATGTTTAAGTATTATTCACCAGTTATTTGCTAGCTTGTACTTCTTCAGAAAGACTGTATTTCCACTTACAAACATTACATAGATTCATCCATCCACTATAACATTGATTCGTCGACTCACATTGATTCGTACACTCCCTATATAAGGGGCTATGGTGTAGATATGTATGACTCATGGATCTATGACTCATGGATCTGACGTTATTGTTAAATTATATTAAGATTAAACATGATAATACAGGTAAATACAGGATATGATTACATTACATTTGCATACAAGTACATTTTAAAACTTTATCAACCCAAAATACTNACTATACTGTGTATATACTGTATATACTGTATGCAAATGCTCATGTAAACATACTTTCACACCATGTGTTAGACATGTATTAGTGGTCAGAGAATGTTTGAATTGACTATCTACTAACCCTGCAGAGCATCAGTAATTAAGGCAGGTGTTAGTTTAAGTCTTTTTGCTCCTTCTAAAGTGAAGACTGTTTATGTTTAATTAAGTATTAGTCACCAGTTATTTACTAGCTTGTACTTTTGTAGAAAGACTGTTTCCACTTACAATCATTACATAAATTCATCCACTCACACTATAAGGGGCTGTGGTGCAGATATGTTTCACTCATGGTCCTGCCCTGCCTTTATTGTTAAACTATATTAAACTATATTAAGATTAAACATGAAAATACTTAAGATTAAACATGATAATACAGGTAAATACAGGATATGATTACATTACATTTGCATACAAGTACATTTTAAAACTTTATCAACCCRAAATACTCATCAAATGATGAAATCTCACATGAGGCTTAGCTCTAACCAGGAAGTTAAATGTATGCTCAGGCAGCAAAGCCTCATGGGAAATTTCATAAATTGATAAAATATGAGTATTTTCGGTATTCTGAAGTTTGCAAATCTGTTAAATCTAATCTAAACATGTCCTGTAGTTACATGTATTGTCATGCTTTATCTTAATATAATTTAAGCTTAAAGTCAGAACCATGATTGAAAACTATCTGCACACAGCCCCTTGTAAAGTGATTGGATGAAGAGATATAAAGATTGGAAGAGAAATGCAGACATTCTACATCAGAGGACAAAATAGTATAAGCTGGTGAATAATTGGTGACTAATACTTACTTAAACATAAACAGCCTTCACTTTAGAAGGATTCACAAAAACACTTAACAACTAACACCTGCCTTAATTACTGATGCTCTGCAAGGTTAGTATGTATATATAGTCAATTCAAACATTCTCTAACCAGTAATACATGTCTAACACATGGTGTGAAAGTATGTTTACATGAGCATTTGCATATATATACACAGTCTTTATAATAGTTAACTCATGACTTATGAAGCATGAGTGAACAATGAGTATGCTCGTTTCAGAAGTAATTACCCTTTATGGGTAAAACATTAATAAATGTGTTATTTCATCATTTATTAAGTCTGAATTATCCTTCATTAATGATGTTTTCAAGGTTAAGTAACCCTTTAWTAATGATTAATTAAGTCTAAATAAGGTGTAGTTATTACAAAGTGTTACCCAAGCAACTTATTACCTGTACCTTGGTCCAGTTGTTCAGACCTGGCTGCTAACTGCTTACAGGTAACCTCAGCCACTAACGGCTCTGCTGCGGAGTGCACGCTTGTCGAGGAGGAACCGTGGAAACATGAATAATGGCAGCGCAGAGATCCCCTGCTCCTGGGCTCCACAAGCTTTCCTATCTGGTGATTTAAAAAAAATAAGAGTGAATGAAATGTCACATGAACAGAACTACTAATTGTTTTTTTTATGTAGTTTCCTTTTTTTATTATTAGTCCCTTTAAAAAAAAGATTTTGTATTTGTCTATCTTACTGATGTGTTTTACTAATTCACTTAACCGTGAACTGATACCAGAATTATACCTCACCTGTTAGAGCGCAGTCATACCCTGTGTAGCAGATACTTGCACAGCATACTTCAAGGCTTGGAAGAGGAGAGGAACGGAAATGTTAGAGGAACTTATTTTTAGCAATACATTCCAGTTGTACTTTTCTGTGAAGATGGACTGAGTGGCTGTTTAACACAGACGCACCGAGGCTATCTTCCAAGTTTCATAAAGGTGGTCCATTAACGGCAGAGGACGAGCGGAAATCAGATCATTCGTCATGAAAACTGTCATCTTCTATCTTTCCATCCATGTCAGTATTTTCACAACAGGCCAAWACTTATTTGTCTAAGTTTCTCAGTTTTAGTTGTAACTCTACAYCTGTCCTGACCATGCAATAGTGAGGTATCCAAGATGACAATTAGCAAACCGATCAAATGATAGCACACATTAAGTGTAATTTTAAAGCACTAAACGTTTCATGAAGCCAGTATTTATCCACTGCCCCCAATCACCCTTTCTTTCTTTCTTTCTTTCTTTCTTTCTTTCTTTCTTTCT